TGTGAACCTGTAAGAAACAATACTTTACAAAATTCGTTCATTCTTCAATAAAGAAAGGAGAAAAATCATTTTCAAATAGGACAGTCTCAAATGAGGAAGGTCCTTGAAGCAAGTTGTTGCCTATTCTACTTCTATTGTAGAAAAAGAAAGTGATGCCAAAATGATGAAGCATTCTTGAAGGCAAGGGGTCTGAGAGTCCAGAAAATCCAGAGAATTGAACTTGTAACGCTCTCATGTGACATCATTACCAATCCATCAAGAAAGATTATCATTTATTTCATGCTGAGGGCGATAAGCATCACCAGACAAATTATTTTCCCCAGCCATCAATCCATGTTCTGTAGAAGATTACATCACAGAGCTATAAGTCCCATTAAGGTGTATTATGGGAATGAACAAGTCACTACTTGCACTCTGGTTATACTGTAATGTTGGCTCAAGTCTTGATATATCATTACTGCTTCTTCCATGCTGATTATTTTCTTTGCCAGGATTATATCCATTATGCCCTTCAGAAGATTGTTGAACTTGAATTTGAGAACTTATGGCACAGAATAAGACATTGGAACAAATTCTACAATTATAGACTTTTCATACGAGAGTGTGATATACCTTGGAGCAACAGAAGATACATTTATTGTAACAGTTATTGCAACAGTCATTGCAAGAAAATGCACCAATAAAAATCTTCTCGATGATGTTTATTTCTTCTAGTAAGGTTGTTACATGGGATGCCACCGACAACAAGGTCGAATTCGCCAAATCTACTCATCAATTGCTCCAATCAATCACTATTCAGTTCTTGCACATTTATTTTCAAAGGTATGCCAAGACAGTAGAAGGCAACCTCTGCATCACTGATCCCAGAGAAAAGAGACAGGACATTGATGTACCTGGGAAATATGCCTATTAAGACTGAAAGATGATAAGCCACTGTGTCGACCTGGAATGAATTACCAAGGCGATTTATACCACTCTGTCCGACTAGACCCCTCCATATCCAGAATATGATCACCTCATTCTGAAGATGCACATATCTTAGACGTCTCTGTTAGAATAATTGAGCACTTCTTAAGTTTGTGACAACATGAAGAGAATTCCTCTAGTTACTTGATAACACTGTTGTTTAGTGACACTAGAATAAGAGTATTCAAGATAAACAGATTTGGGACATCTTGAAGGCCCATTTCAACCAGAAATAGAATATTGGGGCATTTTGAAAGCTCACAGCAATATGAATATTTTAGCATTCTTGGAGGCTTAACTCAGCAAGAAGAAAAAGTTGGGGCATGTTGAAAGCCCATTTCAATCAGAATCAGAAATGTTGATGTATTTTGAACGTTCTTATCAGCAAATGTTGGGGCATGCTGAAGGCCCATGTCTTATGGAAAAATCATTGACTTGAACAAATATTTCCAATGAGATAGAAAGATATGAAGAATGAAAATGGTGAAATAGTGACAGTCGAGCTGACTATACATAATTGCTTCGTTCATCAGGCAGTTACATTATGATCATGTTGTTTGAACAAATATCTACTCAGCAAAGATAAAGATGGTCCCCAGACAGAACATTCGATCCAAGGTTCATTTCCTCAAGATATCATCTTTGAATTTGATCTTTTGTGTGTCAGTAATGATTGGACATATTTCTTTGAGGTTTCTGGCAGTTAGTTTCAATCATACTGTTGGGGCTACGAAGCTATTTTTCACAACATTTTTGATTAATCGATGACATTGAAAAGGGAGGCTCGACTCACTTATATTACTGTTATTCCCGTTGTTACTGGGTTATCATTGCCAGCCAGGCTGAACTAAATTTTCATCTATTTGATTTTATTATGTGTGTTTCATCTACAACAACAAGAATTCCATGGACCTCTTTCTGTACATGGCTCCTATAGTTGATGTGTTTCTACTTCCTACAACGCTCATTATGGAAGAAAACATGATCGGTATCACACTAGCCCTTGCCCGAGATGATATCAAGATCAGTTAGTGTCTCTTACTCAATCCGACACTAGCATATTTTGTGAATTTGACCCAGTTTTGGTAATGAAACACACCAACATCTCACTTGTACTCCCATTGAGTTTTTTTCTCAAGTGGTCTTGTGACATCATACAAAAGTTTTGAACACTATGAAAAAGTTTCCCTGACCAGAAATCTGGGCAGAAGCCACATGAAATGATGAATGTGTTGTCAAGTGTTTTACGAACATCTGAGCAGAAGCCACAGCTGGATGAATGTGTTGTCAAATGTTTTATGAACCAGTGATTATGGTGTTAAACCAATGTTGTGATCATATGGTTTCCATTTATTGATCCAAGATGAAGTCTGTCTTCTTTAACCCCAAGGTTAAAAGTGAGATATGATGAAGATTTCTTTCTATAGAAGGAGAACTGAAATTTTAACAACAAGAAACTAGTGGAGCCAACTAAGGTTGAATGACAGGTTGTTGTTAAGCATCTTGAAATGATATGGTCTGAATGACTTTGTTCGAGATCCAATTAGATGTGGAGACATGAAAGGAATTAGGATAAATCTTCCTTGTGATATGTTTCAAGAGTCAAATTAGAACAGACGTTGATTTCCTAATTAATTTACTGAGTCAGGCATATCTACATCTACATCTACACTATTCAAAGATGATATATTCTCTCTTCAAAGCTGATAGATTCTCTCTTCAAAGCTGATAGATTCTTTTTTTTAGATGAAAGTTTTATTGGATTTCTAAAAAAGTTCAGATGAAGAAAACCGATGTTATTCTAAAAAAGTTCAGATGAAGAAAACCGATGTTATTAAAGATAAAAATGGGGCATCAAGGTCATATTTCTGACTACAACAAGAGTTCCATAAATGAAACATTTCTTCTGAGACTTAAATGAAGCAAAGAAGACATAAAGATGCAGATTGATCAGATGATTCTTCAAAAATATAACATAAGTTGCTACACTGATATCCAAAGGTAACCCTAAAAATAAATGATCAAGTGAAGGAAGACCGAGTTCGCAACTTTGAAGTCAAATGAAGGGCTCAACATTCATGCATTCATAAGAACATCATTTGCATAATAGAAAATGCATTACATTGCTACATTTGATTGCATTCAAACATGAAGTTTTACAAGTTTTCATATGAAAAAAGAAGATTCATGATGGAAAATACCTTACAAGTGTAAGGTAGAATTCAAGCCTCAAGTACAAAAATCATGCAAACATCTGAAGAATAGATGGTCGCAATCCACAAAAGAAGTATTATTTCAAAGTGGGGCATGTTACAAAGTTATTTCGAAAAATGAGAAAACAATTTCCAAAGTTTCTCATTTAATTTTTTCTGAAAATGAAATTGTTGAATAGTAAGAAAATGATTTCCAAAGTTTCTTACTTAGTAAACTATTTCCCAAATTTGTAAGTCCTACGGGCCATCCATAAGACATTCAGTGCAGGATGTTTTCAAATAGCAATTTATCTCACTTGAGATTGTTTTTCTTAAAACAAATTGTTTCTCGCTGGAGAAAGTTTCACTTGAAATAGCAATTTATCTCACTTGAGATTGTTTTTCTTAAAACAAACTGCGTCTCGCTTGAGACAGTTTCACTCGAAACAACAATTTATTTCACTTGAGATTGTTTTTCTTAAAACAAACTAGTTCTCACTGGAGAAAGTTTCCCTCGAAACAACAATTTATCTCACTTGAGATTATTTTTCTTAAAACAAACTTTGTCTCTCTTGAGACAGTTTCACTCGAAACATGAAATTTTATCTCATTCGAGATTGTTTTTCTTAAAACAACCACAGAAGGAGTTCACAATGAGAAGAACTCATCTGAAGAAGAAGAATTTCATAATGAGAAGAACTTATTCAACCTTTTGCTTGAATTCATCACTTGATGGATCAACATTGCCAGGTAGAATTCATAATAAGAAGAACTCATCTGAAGAAGGAGAAGAAGTTCATAATGAGAAGAACTTGTTCAACCTTTTGCATGACTCATATGATCCATTGCGATGGATAATATCTTTCGGTATTTATGTATGCAAACTCATAATTTTAAATAAATAAATTCTGAAGTTTGTTATTTTGTTTTATGAACAAATAATAACACTGGATGATTGATTATTTTGATTTATTTTTAGATTATTAGTTGTAGGCTAATTTATCAGAATAAGACCTCTTTTTTATAATCAAAATGACACTTTAATAAATTTTTTTTGTTAAAATGATACCCTTTTGATAAAATTGTGCTTAAACAAGGCGTGTTTGGGAGGTAGCACAATTGTCCATGCAGCAGGTTATGTGGGTGGCTTCTCCCGTGTAAGATTTCATATATAAATAATGTAAGATTTTCATCATATAATTTCAAATCTCATATTGCTTGCATATATATTTAAAGTGATTCAATATAATCTTTTATACATGTATTTATTGTGTGATTGAAGACAAGGTTTACATGCATACGTGTCTGTCATCATTTAACTAACTTGTATAATCATCAATTTTTTATATATATCATACATGTTTTTTTAATAAAATTTATATAATTTTAAGGTCATTATTTTTTTTCCTTTTCATTTTAGTCTTTTATGACATCAACGTAACAATCTATTTAAATGGCCTTGACAGATGCCACGTAGAGAAAGGCACGTACTCTAAAACTAAAACATGCTACATATTCAAATGATCTTGGCAAATGCCACGTAGAGAAAGGCACGTACTATAATACTAAAGCATGTCTTTTGGAAGACGCTTTCTCATAAGCATATGCTTTTACCTAAAGGGTGTCATTTTAGTAAAATTATTTTGGATAAAAATAAAATTGTTTCTGTGACATTTTAGTAAGAAAAGGTTAAGAAGGGTATTGTTCTCATATAAAACTGCCGATTTTAGTGGTTTACTGAATTGGATCATTAGTGTCGTCAAGTTCAAAAGTTGTCGATTCATTATCTTCTAACCTACAAACCCCTATTTGCAAAGTTGATGTACTCTATGCACAAAGAAATACGCTCAATCCAGTACTGCATTGGCTACATTCAAAAACACTACCTACAACGTCGTTCTACACCATCTTTTCAATAATGCATGCAAGCTTTCGAAGCACATTCCAACATATATTATCATCCTCCTCATTTCAATTAGCACGCCTTAGTCTCAATCCCACATCTTCTCAGTCACGCTGGATTATTGCAGTTCCCCGTGGATTATAAATCTGTGCTTCCGAGCAACCCCCTGCCTTGCTTTGATTCTCTTCTGAGTTCTCCCCAAAATTATGAAGTCGACGACCTATAAGATATCGGTCATCCCTTATAGAATTGTGGAGGTTTGTGAACCAGACATGGAATCTCTTCGCACAAAAGCACAAGCAGCTGAAGCAAAGGCATCCTAGCCATGCAAAGCGGTAGACGGCTGAATTGATTACTAATGGGTAGCCGAGCACCGGAAACACGCCTCGGGCTAGTACATACGGTACACACAAGGCTGTCAGCAGCTTCATTATAATGGGACATACGATCTCCCGCAACACCCAAAGGCCCTGCAGTCTAGAAAATCCATCTTCTCTCACCCTTTCAAATTTCACTCGCCAGCTGTCGTCTACCAATGGCATCATATGATCCAGCATAACCTATGCATATAAAAAAAATTCAGATCTCGTGGGAGAATAATTTAATCATTACAAAATAGTAAGAAAATATAAGTGTCCATTGCAAAAACCCGAGGTTAATTACATCACCAAAAAAAATCAGTTGCACATAATCAATAGTGGTAGAAAAAAAACTTACCAGTCTAGTCCAGATCTTAAGAAAAATGAGACCCAATGCCCAATCCTGGTACAATAGGAAAACTGGGCTCTCATCTACAGGAACCCGCATTGGCACAATCACCAAAAGCTCGAAAAGGAGGCCAATAAGAACAGGAATGAAAAAAATCTGTATCACAACACCGATAAAGATTCCTCAGTTGTATATTTGGGGCCCTGAAACAAGTAGAAAACTAATTACACCGGAATACCACACGACATACCCATATTGATAAGAGCATGGAACTCTTGATGACTATCGTGCTCCACTTGGAAATTTGACCAAATATAACCGCTGCCCTCTTTGTTCTAATGTGCTCAATGGAGTATCTAGCCCCAGCTATGGCAGTCCAAATGAAATAGCTACCAATGACGAAAGAATAGAGGTCTATGATTCCGAAACAAAACCCAGTTAGCACTGAAATTACAAAGACACATTGGGGTGGGAGGATCAAATCAAACCACATTACCGTTGCACTTAATGCCATGAGTTATTGGGAGAAGAGGAATGGCGTTGAAAAGAGCTCGTCCAAGTGATATCGGTACTATTATCAAGGAAGAGTTAAAGATTAGCAATGTCATCCAGGCGACCACCAGCAAGAGAACAATGCGGAGAACAAAGCCGTACCTGCTAAAGAATACATCAATGAAATTAGACAGAATGAAATGGAGCAACCTAGAAGCAAAGCAATCTGTGTTTGACTAAATGTAGTAAGAGGAGATGAAAAAGAACAAAACAGAAATTATGTCGAGTCTACAATAACTAACATACTTAAGTGCTAAACATCAAAAGGCACTATTAACCAAAAACACCAAAACTTTTCTGATAACTCTCTATTCAATGAAGAAAATAACTGAGTTGATATCAATGCTAATATTTGCACATTAACAGGCAGAGAACATAGCCAATGTTCTGCAATTAAACAAAGCAAAATTCACTTGGAGGAATCAGATATAAAGAATAATTTGAATATTCATCCCAAAATATGATCAAAGTTCGAGAAATAATTTACAAAAATTCAGATTTTTCCAATGTGCTTAAACCAAATATATAGTTAAAATCTCCCACACTTAACCTATATGTTGGAATTCCTAAAATTAAGGATAAATTTACTTACCTTATTCCTAGGAGTTCCCTTGTACAGTAGGATCTAATCTTAGTCTCTAATTCTTAGGGAGTTATTATTTTTAGGGATTATTTCCTTATTTATACTTAGACTACTCAATAAAGGCTATAAACAATTTAGTAAAAAATAACAACCTTCTTTCTAAGTTTGTTCATGGCATTAGTGCTATAGGAATCATTCGATCTTGCTCCTTTCATTTTTATCTTCTTGTCCCTCTCGTTAATCTTTACTACCTCTCCGATTGAATCCATTTTCCATGGGTGACAATGAAACTCTATCCGAAACTGAGACCTCACAAATGACTCGGACTTTTAACCAAGGAACCTCTCAAGGTGACCTTAATTCCTACCCTCATAATCACCAATCATCGTCTAGATCGAAAAAATTTTCATGCAATGGTTCCAATCGATCATTATGGTAATTCGTGGCCGTGGCAAAATAGGTTACATCAATGAAGAAATTTCTAGACCAGCCCAACAGATGCAACTTGGGAACTCAACAACTCGATTGTAATGGCTTGGCTAATTAACTCAATGGAAGGCCATATAAGTCGCAACTATCTCTTCTTCAAAACTACAAAAGACATGTGGGATGCAATCAAAGAAAACTACTCGGATCTGGGAAACGCCTCCCAAGTATTCGAGATCAAGCTAAAGTTAAAGGATATTCGACAAGGAGCACTCGAAGTAACTTGATCCTCGAGCCCACACATGTGTCTTCATTGGCTATTCCCCCACACAAAAGGGCTATAAGTGTTGCTCACCAACCTTACTCCGAATGTTTATCTCTCGGGATGCCATCTTTTTTGAGAATGAACCATATTTTGCATCATCTTTTCTTCAGGGGGAGACTCTCAATGAAGATGAGACCCTTAATACCCTTCTCATTATACCTCATGAACCTACCTCTACTATCACAAACAAACCTAACAACCCAACAACCATTGTAATTCCAGATTTAGGGAATGTTTTTCCTGTGCAGCAGCAAGAAATTAGCATAATCAATCACACCACCAAAGAACAGCAACAACCTGATCCAGGAAGGCAGCAAAAACAGGCCCCAGAACTCCGGGTATACTCTAGACGATTTTATTCTCCTGAAACTAAAACAACAATGCCAATTTCATCCCCAACAGAGGACTGTTCTGAAACAAAAATCTCACCTCCATCATCCATATATCTTCCAATTGCAGTTCGAAAGGGAACAAAGAGCTGCACTCAACACCCTATTTCTCAGTTTGTGTCCTATGGAAACTTATCTAAGTCTTATAAAGCCTATGTGTCTAATGTTGATACTGTAGAAGTTCCGAAAAACATAGAAGAAGCTCTTAAATAAACTGAGTGGAGGCAAGTTGTGATGGAAGAAATAAAGACTATCAAAGACAATGAAACGTGGGAAGTCTCGGATTTACCAAGTGGTAAAAAGACCGTAGGATGCAGGTGGATCTTCGCTACAAAATTTAAACCCGATGGCAGTATCGACTGATACAAGGCTCGACTGATACAAGGCTCGACTTGTGGCTAAGGGCTTTACTCAAACCTATGGCCTTGATTACGACGAGACGTTTGCACTAGTTGCCAGGCTAAACACCATTCGAGTTCTCCTATCCCTTAATGTCAATTTAGATCGGTCCTTGACCCAATTGGACATAAAAAATGCTTTCCTCTATGGATAATTAAATGAGGAAGTGTAGATGGACTTCCCACCTGGGTTTGAAGAGAGCAAGGGCCAAGTGTGTAAGTTAAAGAAGTCCTTATATGGACAAGCAATCTTCAAGGGCATGGTTCAACCGATTTGCCAAAGCTATGACTAGTAGAAACTATATTCAAGGACAGACTGACCACACTATGTTTTACAAACACTCGAAAAATGGAAAATGTCGCATTCTCATTGTCTATGTGGACGATATAATATTAACAGGGGATGATTCAAGCGAAATTAAAAGGCTAAAAGAGTTTCTTAGTGCTTAATTCGAACTTAAGAACTTGGGGAATCTTAGATATTTTCTTGGAATGGAGGTAGCAAGGTCTAAGGAAGGTATTTCCATCTCACAAAGAAAGTATGTTCTCGACCTGCTTTCTGAAGTTGGTTTGTTGGGCTACAAACCAGCTGAAACTCCTATGTAATTCAATCTTAAATTGGGAACTGATCAGGATGGACAAGATATCGACAGGGGGAGATATCAACGACTAGTAGGGAGACTTATCTACCTATCTCACACTCGTCCAGACATAGCTTTCAGTGTGAGTGTTATCAGCCAGTACATGCACGCTCCAAGGGAGAAACATCTAGAAGCTGCGTACAGGATATTAAGGTATCTCAAAGGGACTCCGGGTAAAGGCCTGCACTTCAAGAAAACTGCCAACCGAATTGTAGAAGTATACACTGATGCAGACTGGGCAGGTGCTGTTAACGACAGACATTCTACAAGTGGCTGTAGCTACGTTTTGGGTAAATCTCATAACATGGAGAATTAAAAAACAGTCTTTTGTAGCATGCAGCAGTGTAGAGGCAGGGTATTGAGCACTATCCCATGGTATATGCGAAGGAATCTGGATACGACTACTGGGAGAACTAAAAGTGTCCTATACCAGACCTATAAAAATGCATTGTGACAACCAGGCAGCTGTCAGTATAGCACATAGTCCTGTTCACCACGATCGCACCAAACATGTGGAAATTGATCGCCACTTCATCAAAGAAAAAATTAACTCGGGTGAGGTTTGTGTTACCTACCTACCTACCTACGAGATAACAAGTTGCAGACTTGTTGACCAAAAGCTTGAGCATAAACATGTTTGAAGAAACTATTGGCAAGCTGGGTTTGATAAATATCTACACTCTAGCTTGAGGGTGAGTGTTGGAATTCCTAAAATTAAGGATAAATTACTTACCTTATTCCTAGGAGTTCCCTTGTACAGTAGGATCTAATCTTAGTCTCTAATTCTTAGGGAGTTATTATTTTTAGGGATTATTTCCTTATTTATACTTAGACTACTCAATAAAGGCTATAAACAATTTAGTAAAAAATAACAACCTTCTTTCTAAGTTTGTTCATGGCATTAGTGCTATAGGAATCATTCGATCTTGCTCCTTTCATTTTTATCTTCTTGTCCCTCTCGTTAATCTTTACTACCTCTCCGGTTGAATCCATTTTCCATGGGTGACAATGAAACTCTATCCGAAACTGAGACCTCACAAATGACTCGGACTTTTAACCAAGGAACCTCTCAAGGTGACCTTAATTCCTACCCTCATAATCACCAATCATCGTCTAGATCGAAAAAATTTCATGCAATGGTTCCAATCGATCATTATGGTAATTCGTGGCCGTGGCAAAATAGGTTACATCAATGAAGAAATTTCTAGACCAGCCCAACAGATGCAACTTGGGAACTCAACAACTCGATTGTAATGGCTTGGCTAATTAACTCAATGGAAGGCCATATAAGTCGCAACTATCTCTTCTTCAAAACTACAAAAGACATGTGGGATGCAATCAAAGAAAACTACTCGGATCTGGGAAACGCCTCCCAAGTATTCGAGATCAAGCTAAAGTTAAAGGATATTCGACAAGGAGCACTCGAAGTAACTTGATCCTCGAGCCCACACATGTGTCTTCATTGGCTATTCCCCCACACAAAAGGGCTATAAGTGTTGCTCACCAACCTTACTCCGAATGTTTATCTCTCGGGATGCCATCTTTTTTGAGAATGAACCATATTTTGCATCATCTCTTCTTCAGGGGGAGACTCTCAATGAAGATGAGACCCTTAATACCCTTCTCATTATACCTCATGAACCTACCTCTACTATCACAAACAAACCTAACAACCCAACAACCATTGTAATTCCAGATTTAGGGAATGTTTTTCCTGTGCAGCAGCAAGAAATTAGCATAATCAATCACACCACCAAAGAACAGCAACAACCTGATCCAGGAAGGCAGCAAAAACAGGCCCCAGAACTCCGGGTATACTCTAGACGATTTTATTCTCCTGAAACTAAAACAACAATGCCAATTTCATCCCCAACAGAGGACTGTTCTGAAACAAAAATCTCACCTCCATCATCCATATATCTTCCAATTGCAGTTCGAAAGGGAACAAAGAGCTGCACTCAACACCCTATTTCTCAGTTTGTGTCCTATGGAAACTTATCTAAGTCTTATAAAGCCTATGTGTCTAATGTTGATACTGTAGAAGTTCCGAAAAACATAGAAGAAGCTCTTAAATAAACTGAGTGGAGGCAAGTTGTGATGGAAAGAAATAAAGACTATCAAAGACAATGAAACGTGGGAAGTCTCGGATTTACCAAGTGGTAAAAAGACCGTAGGATGCAGGTGGATCTTCGCTACAAAATTTAAACCCGATGGCAGTATCGACTGATACAAGGCTCGACTGATACAAGGCTCGACTTGTGGCTAAGGGCTTTACTCAAACCTATGGCCTTGATTACGACGAGACGTTTGCACTAGTTGCCAGGCTAAACACCATTCGAGTTCTCCTATCCCTTAATGTCAATTTAGATCGGTCCTTGACCCAATTGGACATAAAAAATGCTTTCCTCTATGGATAATTAAATGAGGAAGTGTAGATGGACTTCCCACCTGGGTTTGAAGAGAGCAAGGGCCAAGTGTGTAAGTTAAAGAAGTCCTTATATGGACAAGCAATATTCAAGGGCATGGTTCAACCGATTTGCCAAAGCTATGACTAGTAGAAACTATATTCAAGGACAGACTGACCACACTATGTTTTACAAACACTCGAAAAATGGAAAATGTCGCATTCTCATTGTCTATGTGGACGATATAATATTAACAGGGGATGATTCAAGCGAAATTAAAAGGCTAAAAGAGTTTCTTAGTGCTTAATTCGAACTTAAGAACTTGGGGAATCTTAGATATTTTCTTGGAATGGAGGTAGCAAGGTCTAAGGAAGGTATTTCCATCTCACAAAGAAAGTATGTTCTCGACCTGCTTTCTGAAGTTGGTTTGTTGGGCTACAAACCAGCTGAAACTCCTATGTAATTCAATCTTAAATTGGGAACTGATCAGGATGGACAAGATATCGACAGGGGGAGATATCAACGACTAGTAGGGAGACTTATCTACCTATCTCACACTCGTCCAGACATAGCTTTCAGTGTGAGTGTTATCAGCCAGTACATGCACGCTCCAAGGGAGAAACATCTAGAAGCTGCGTACAGGATATTAAGGTATCTCAAAGGGACTCCGGGTAAAGGCCTGCACTTCAAGAAAACTGCCAACCGAATTGTAGAAGTATACACTGATGCAGACTGGGCAGGTGTGTTAACGACAGACATTCTACAAGTGGCTGTAGCTACGTTTTGGGTAAATCTCATAACATGGAGAATTAAAAAACAGTCTTTTGTAGCATGCAGCAGTGTAGAGGCAGGGTATTGAGCACTATCCCATGGTATATGCGAAGGAATCTGGATACGACTACTGGGAGAACTAAAAGTGTCCTATACCAGACCTATAAAAATGCATTGTGACAACCAGGCAGCTGTCAGTATAGCACATAGTCCTGTTCACCACGATCGCACCAAACATGTGGAAATTGATCGCCACTTCATCAAAGAAAAAATTAACTCGGGTGAGGTTTGTGTTACCTACCTACCTACCTACGAGATAACAAGTTGCAGACTTGTTGACCAAAAGCTTGAGCATAAACATGTTTGAAGAAACTATTGGCAAGCTGGGTTTGATAAATATCTACACTCTAGCTTGAGGGTGAGTGTTGGAATTCCTAAAATTAAGGATAAATTACTTACCTTATTCCTAGGAGTTCCCTTGTACAGTAGGATCTAATCTTAGTCTCTAATTCTTAGGGAGTTACTTATTTTTAGGGATTGTTTCCTTATTTATACTTAGACTACCCTATAAAGGCTGTAAATTATTTAGTAAAGAATAACAACCTTTTTTCTAAGTTTGTTCACTATACAGTATCTAACCCTAGAATAACTTCCTTGTAAGTGCAAATTCAATGAGCAAATGATCTTTATAAAGTCGAATCACTGAGCAAAACTACATGAAAATAAACCATAAGCAAAGCTGAATATTTTCAGACCTTAATGTAAATCAGATCTTTAAAAAGCACCACATAACTTACTCTGAATCAGTTCGTTCATCCCCATCAAGCTCCTCCACGACATTAGAATTCCCTGATGCGAGAAGACCTCTATTTGGATCATCATCAGCAACAAATGCAACCATGGCCTGTTCCTGTCCACCTAGTTGCACAACTTGTGGTCTATCCTGTTGACCGGGTACCACATTGGCATTTTCCTGGCCACCATTCTCCTCAGGTCTGGGAAGTAAAAACTCTGTTAAGCCTAATGCTCTGCCAACGGTAGTAAACCAATAGTGGAGAAGAGACTTGATTGTTGTCCGCAATTTAAAATGCTTAATGGCAAATGGAATGCATATTTGAAAGAGAAGCATATCAGCTGGGATCTCAGTAAATGGGTCAGAAACCCTGTAACAAGGAAATCATTTAAATGTAAGCTAACAAGAAGCATACATAAGTGAGTCGATGAGAAAAGTTATGTGCCATCCTTACGATATATCAAGTGGGAAAATAAATGGTGCTATCTTCATAGCAAGCTGGACTGGCAAGAATACCAGCATTACAATCAAACTTCCATAAACTGCAACTGATAACAAGACTCTCCGAGCATGCTTGTTTACAGGATCATCAATTAAATCACGAAAGGGATTGTAGTTTGGATCAGCTGGGTCTCGTAGGAAGTATAGAACACCATTGCGTAAAACCTGTCCATAACAAAAATTATATTATCAGACTCATGACATAACATCTTAAAGTAAACATTTGTATTATATAGGATAAGAAAGAGGATTACCCCTCGAAGAAGGCTGACAAAGATGCTTATTTGTAGCATGTACACAATTCCAACAACCCAATGAACCAATGAACTAGCTAAAGGTGAGAATGAGAAGAACTGAAGCCTTTGAGACATTGATTTCCCAAACATCCTTATAGTGCATACATCTAGCCACCATCCACACATCAAAGGAAAAGCCCCAAGCTCAATTACAAGGAGGAAAGCAACTTTAATCATTGTCATCAAATGCCTCATTGCCGCCAGGAATTTCCTGAACAGGGATGGAATTGTCTCAACTATCGAAGCAATTCCATACAACCTCCCCATTGTCAAAGGCTCGCCCCTAGTGTACCTAATCAAGGTGACAACACCCAGGTAGAAGAAGACTAAAGAGAATATAAACATATATCCAACAACAAGAGTTGTAACATCAGACAACCTTGATGCTCCAATACTTGCTCCTTTCAAGACATCTGCTGAAAATGGTGCGCTTGTGTTGCTTGAAATTTCACCTACTGCACTAGAGTTTGCATTCAAGATTTCTGCAACTTGACCAAGTATGCTATTGCCTTGGCCTTCAGGTGTCAAATTTGTAACTGCAGTTAATGCATTCTTCAATGAGATATTTGCTAAGGAAAGGGTAGTGTCTATCACTGGCATGACTGCTGACAACACTGGACCACTTGCAGAAGAGAAAAGCCAAGATACATAAAGGAGAATAAGGCGGCCAAGTGTAAAAGGCATATAAATCACAACGCTAAGGAATACCATATTGCTGGCTAGAACCTGCAGGAACAAATCATCAAATGATGGCAGAATAGTGTTAAATTGGGGGGGGGGGGCTAAAAATTTGTGTTTAGTTTCTTTTCTTAGCACATACTATATTACAGATTGTCACAATTTCAAAAAGCTGTAACAAGAATAGATTTAAAGAAGGAAAAAAAAAGCATTAGCATGTCTTTGACAATTGAAGTCTACACAGTGAAGATCCATAAGTAGTAACAAATAAACAAAACAACAATAGAATTATAAGATTAAAACCGGATGCAAAGTCATGCAGAGAATGATAAAACCACATACTGCAGTCTATTGTCTGTATTTTGGAAGTGCAAACATTTAAAGGAACAATAAAAAAAAGTCAAGTATAACGCTCATTAACAAGGTAAATGATTCATGAAAAATTTCCTCCACTGAAAGTATATCAAGTTTGTCATGCAACAGAGTGCTAAACTTTAAGTTCTCAAATTCCAAATTAGCATCAATGGCCTAAGCCATATACAAACAAATGCAAACAGACAAATCACCCTTTGTTTTTGAGGCTGATATATTGATAAGCTAGTCTCATCACCTAAAGGTTCCCAAGAAAATCCCCAACCAAAAGGCAAGTCAAGCGCTTAAATAACATTAGTAAAAGAATACCAATTGGAAGATAAGCATAAATAGTAAAATTAAAACAACTGAAGAAACTTACGGTGAATGCATTCTCAACCAAATGAAAAACAGGACCCTGCATGCCAACAAGCTCATCAAAAGGTACATCCTCAGCAGCATCAGCATCTTCCAGACCATCAAACATGTGTTCAACATGAGCTTCAAGACGAGCTGCATGCATTTCCAAACGAGCTGCCACATTTTCAGCATTCCTTCTGATCATTTGACCATCTCCACCAACACCTTGTGCTCCAACAGCATCTTCACCATTACCATCAGCGGCAAAATTCCAATTAGCTTGTCCAGGGGGTCGCCTAGCAACACGAGCACCATTCATATCCCCTTCATCTTCTCTATCAGCATCTTGTCCTCCAAGCTCTCGCAAATGTCGAAAATAATCCCTCAAAGAAGTTGCTCCAAGAAAAATAAACACAATGCTAGCAGAAAGTAGGAATCCATGCAAACAACCAGTAAGAATGATTGTGGTAGAAGCATGGCTTAATAATAATCTCTGAGCTTCGCCAAAACTCCTGACGAATGCCAACCGCCATATCCAAAAGGTAATGAAAGGTATTATGAGAAGCCAGACAGAAAGCACAAAACTAAGACGCAAAAAGAACTGCATAACATGACAAGCTTTCATTGTCATCCCAACAACAAACTCCTGAAAAGGAAGCCTTGCTGGGGCATTCTCAGCATACACAGGGGAGAAAGAAAACGCATGCTTGCAAACCTGCAAAGCAAGTCAAGTTAAAGCATTATAATCACAGAGCAAATCTACTTGTTGAGGCATGTGTGTGTGTATGTATATATAGAGAGAGAATTAACAGGGGGGGAACCACATGAACAATAAGATTTTTTAAGCATGAATTTAAAGAAAAAAGAATGCGAGGAAAGGGAGAGTAGTATGAGACATAAACAGAGAAATAGGGAGAGGACGTAGAGAAATAGCTCAGACATGTCAGTTTACTAATTTGCATACCAAAAACTGAATTTAAGAAAACCATACTTGCAACATTGAAACATAAAGTATTTTAGAACTGCTAATTTCCCCCAAAAGCTACGAAATTCATTCACATGGCATAACTATTTATCATGCATAACCTCAAGTCCAAGGCAAATCTCTAACTGCACTTACTTGGAATCTTAAATCATGCAATGGAGACATTTATAATAATAATAATAATAAATCTGAAGCTTGACTGCTTCACAAGAATTTTTATTGCCACCAGTATTTATTCAGTTCAAAGTTAAAGAAGCTAGTTGCAGCTAATGACATCTCGGACTCGGATCGTTAAAAGCCCATGAAAATCATAAAAAAAACATGTTTTCACCTCATACAACTGCAAATACCGCCGAGTTGGAGACACGTAGCACATACAACACAAAAATGTCGTTCTTTTCAAATTCCAAGACTTATAAAAATGATCAGCGAAGAATTATAAGAAAATCCAAAATTAGTCTTCATTTCTTAATCACTTCTATTAATCATTATAAGATCACAGCTAATCCAAACACCAAAGCGTGAAATTCAATTAAAAATAAACATAAAACCCTAACTGAAAATAACCTTCAAAGAATATTCCTATCATTTTATACCAGAATTACAAGAAAAGGAAAAGAAAACCTAACCTCGCATTGGCGAGCGTTGCTGTGATTGATCCACTGAAGAAGGCAATCCTGGTGGACATATTTTATGCTGCCGCTACAAGCGCAGGGGTATCGAAGCGGATTGCCAGCATCTCCCGGATTCCGGCAGATCCTACAAACATCTTCCTCTTCTTCCTCCTCCTCCATATCGGGACCATATTTCGAAGCCAACGCGGCCAACGACACCGTTGACGCCGTAGATGACGTCGCTTTTTCATCCTTCTCCAATGATGAGGAAGACGTGGATGGCGAAGGCTTTACGCCGTCTGCTATAGCATCCTCTGCGGAAGAAGTGGGGATTTCATCGCCCAGGGAAGAAGAAGGCGGAACCGCGGGGGCTATCTCCATTGGGATTAGTCAGCTCAATGAGTTTGCGTGAGAGTAACCGAGTCAGGATGCTAATTTATATATTTTCCTTCTTTTTCCGTCTAGACGACTTTGAGATAGATGCTATTTGGAAAATTCGTTCGGATGCCGAGTTTGCCCCTCATGTCTGTTACGCGGAAGATTCATATTGGCTGCTCATGCTCTTTCGTTTTTACGTTATGACTAAAAATCGGTCAATATAAAAATAAGTGACTACATTATAGGATACTTTTTATTTAAATATTTAAATTATTTTTTTATTATTTTAAGTATTTCAATGATAACTATAACCGTGAATCAATTTTTTTAAATGACACCAGATGATTTTATAAATTATATTTTGTTTAAAAATTTTAAAATATTATTATATTTATAAAAAGTTTTAGTTTCTTTAAAATTATAAAAAGCGACCGAACGGCCGATCGTCTTCCTCCTCTTCTTCACCTTATCTCCCGTGGCAGCCGCTCGACCGGAGCCCACAGATTCGGCTCGTTGAACGGTAGATATCCGGCGTGGACAACTCATTTTCTCGGACGTGGGAAACAGTGTCTCTATCATCTTCCATCCACACTCGAGCTCATTTTCATCTTCATTAGAGCCAAAATCTTTAATCTCTGCATGCACATTTAATTGTTCACCAGCTCTCTCCCTAGCAAACATATATTTTTCTCTAAATCCATCTCCAATCTTTTTCAAGTACAAGTTCAACCTCATGAAAATTATTTTCTATCCAATTCCCGTCTTCGCTGATCGCCCTTGTTCTCTACTCCTACCAATGCTTTCTTGAGAAAAGTTAGAGGAACATTTTCTTTGCATTCTTCATCCTTTTACTTTAAGCATGTACTCTTTATCCCCCTGAATAGCACTTTCACTATTTCACAAGCATTTACAGAATCTGTAGACTCTGAATCTCCGTTGGAACTGCCGCGTGGGAACATTTTGTTACTCGCATCTATTATCTGCTTTATACTTTTACTTGATTTTTTTTAATCATTGGTGGAAATTAATCAGGAGCACCTTCTCGCACAACTTCCATTACAGATTCTTGGTTAAGAAGCTTTTCTTTGTTGATTTTGAGGCAAGGAACTTCCTAGCTTCCATTGCAATTTGGGCACTTGTTTTGTATATTCTCCACGACTGATATCTACCATTCAACGATCGACCGCTTGGCTGTTTGAGAAACAGTGGGGTTCTTTTTATAATTTTAAATAAATTATTTTTTATAAATATAATAATATTTTTTAAAAAAATTTTAAAAATAAAATTTGTAAAATTACATGAATCTGACACATGTCAATGAGTTTTTTAACGGTTAATACGACTGAAATATCTGAAATAATAACATAAATAAAGTTAAATACATAAATTGACCGAAAAATAGTTTAAAATCTTAAATGTGGAAAAAATATAATTTGATCGCTTATTTTTATATTTATATTTAGCCAAAAATGGTCTTTTTGTTTACATGAATTTTGTTTTATATTATAAAATTGAATTTTCAGAATTTAATCATTACATTCTAGTCTATCCAAATTTAGTATTTTTTTATGAAGATTAAAAATTAATATTTAACTGTCATTTTGTTATTAATTTGAACTTTAAAATATAATAATCTATATGTACAAAATAAAAAAATAATTTAGTGATACTATGTAATAAAAGAATAAAAGTAAAAATTCAAAGTTTATATGTTCACTAAAAATATGTTAATTTTTTTAACCTTTTTACTTAAAATACGAGGTCAAATTATAAAAATTAAAATAGAGATATTAATCTTTTTATTCAATTCAATTATGTTGTTAGTCCTTTTTATTCTTCTATAAAATATGCAGTGTTATGAACATATAAAAGAAAAGTGAACATACTTATCCAAAAAAAAAGTGAACATTTCTTCTTCTTCTTTTATTTTTAATTTTTTATAACGACTTGTTAGTATATTAGTATTATGAGCTGTTTGAAAATGTTAATATGGTTGTTATTAAAGTCAAAGTTGATTACCAATATTAGGGATTCAAAACGCTGTCATGGTAGTGTTTTCGATCATGTCGTGTCTACCGCAATTACGCTTATAGCGGGTGCTATTGCAGGTGTAGCGAGTATATTAAAAGTCAGCGCTACCACTATTTTGCGGGAGCTATCGCAGTTACGGACGACTATTTAAAACCCTGACCAAGATTCAGTTACTATAGTCTTGGTTTGATTTGGTGTATAAAAGAACATGTTCTAGTTGTTTATGAAGAAGGTTGTTTTCTGAGGTATTTTCATAATCATTCTTGTTAATCTTTCATGATAGCAGAGGTTTTGTCTTCAAGAATGGTGGAAGTTTCTGTTACCGTTACCAAGCCTTCTACAAACAAGTCTATTTCTATTAGGTTTGATGACTCCAATGATTCTTTGGAGGCAACAAGTATTGTTTGCGATCGAGAGTTTGGCCCTTGTCAACCATGTTAACGGGACCTTGGTTGTGCCTCCACAATATGTTTTTAATGAGGTGTTAAGGTTGCTAATGGTGAGTTTCTAGCGTATAAGCAACAAGATAGTGCCTTATGTTCATGGTTGCTCTCTTCAATTGGTGCTTCGATTCTCACTTCCTTGGTGAATTGCAAGACTGCCTTGGATATATGGGAAAATATTCAGCATCTTTTCTCTGTTTCTTTGACCACGAAGATTATGGACCTTTATTGTTCGTTGAAGTCTCTTCGCGAAAGAGATCAAAACATGAGAGAGTATCTTTCTCAGATACAAGCCATTTGTGACAGTCTTGCTGCGTGTGGCAATCCTCTCACTGAGACTATGCATATTTTTGCGATTCTTTCTAGTTTACCGCCGGAGTTTGAGCCGGTGGTGGCCGTGATAACCTTGAGTCAACAACCGTTTGGTCTTAATGGTGTGTGTAACGTTCTTTTAGACACTGAAGCAAGGCAACTGGAGTTCTTGAGTCAAAATGCTTCGGTGAATTTGGTGCAAGGCTCGGTGCCTAATGGGTCCATGACTAGACAAGGCCCATTTCATAGTCAGGGGTTTCATAATCAGTTGGGTCAGTCGTTTTCTTGTTCTAATTTTCTCCCGACCATGCCAAGCGGCGTCTTTGGAGTTTATGGAGCTGGTTGTCACGGACTTAATCTCTCAATAAGCCTCGTGCGACTTTATCTCCTTTTCGCCCCTCGCGATAGCTAAGTCAGCCTCACTCAAACTCGTGCTAGTGTGGGAAAGGATTGACAAGGGAACAAAGAAGAAAGAAAAGAATTTTGGAAGAAAGCTTGTTGATATGCTTGAAAGCTTACAACTCTTGGATGATTTACAAATGAGGATTCTACATCTATTTATAGCCTCCCACCTCCTCAATGGACGATGGAGATTGACTTGATCCTACGGTAGGGAGAGATTATCTAGAATTCTCCATAATTTCCTACCTAACATGGAAGACTCTAGAATACTTCTAGAATATGTACAAGTCTTGAGTGTTCTAGAATAATCTACACTATTCTATCAACCTCCAAGACCAAGTGTGGCCCAACATAGCCAAAATAGCCCAAAGTGTGGGGAAAAGGCCCAATTTCGTGACATTCTCCCCCACCTATTCTGGCGTCGTCCTCGTACGATTTGAGATGTTCTTCGAACTGCCACAAGTCTTCAGCTAGTTCCCATGTTGCCTCGACTCTGGTAGTCCTTTCCACTTGATTAAATACTCGGTACGCGGTGGGACTCCTCTCTCACGGACCGTCCTACTTGTGAGCACCGTTTCCACCTCTTTGTCGTAAGACTTGGTTACTATGGGAGGTGCTCGATACGAATACCCTCGGCTTGGGTCTTCCTTGTCGGCATGATATGGCTTGAGCATACTTACATGGAAGACCGGATGAATCTTAAGTGTACTTGGCAAGTCTAAGCGATAAGACACTTTACCCACCTTGGCAAGTACCTGGAACGGTCCCTCGTATCTCCGTATTAGTCCTTTGTGAACGCTTCGGAGAGCTTTGAACTGTTGTGGCAAAAGCTTCACAAGGACTAAGTCTCCAACGGAGAACTCTCATGTCACCTCTTCTCGTCCGTCCACTTCTTCATCTTCTTCCTCACTTTCTCTAAACATGCACGGGCGATGTCGGCGTTCTCCTCCCATGACTTAGCCATCTTGGTGGCTCCGGGACTTTTGCCCTCGTCACGTGGCATTGTTAATGTGTGCGGCGTAAGCGGTTATTGTCCGGTCGTAAGCTCGAACGGACTCCGGCCTGTGGCTTCACTCCGCTGTAGGTTATAAGAGAATTGGGCGACGTCTAACAACTTTGCCCAATCTCGCTGGTTGGCACTCACGAAGTGCCGCAAGTAACACTCCAACAAAGCGTTCACCCGTTCGCTCTTCCTATCAGTTTGAGGGTAAAAGCTTGTGGAGAAATTTAACTCGGTTCCAAGGAGCTTGAATAATTCCGTCTATAGGCGTCCGGTGAATCGAGGGTCTCGGTCAGTGATGATGCTCCTTGGTAAGCCCCAATTCTTCACGATGTTCTTGAAGAACGCTCGCGCGGCCTCCTCCGCAGTACAATCCTTGGGGCATGGTATGAAAGTCCCATACTTGGAAAATCAGTCCACGACGACCATTATCGAACTGTATCCTCGGACTTGGGTAATGCACTAATGAAATCCAAGGTGATTGAATCCCAAGGTCTTTGGGGAACTGGTAAAGGTTCGAGTAATCTCGCCGGCTGTCGGTTCTCTACTTTGTCTTGTTGGCACACAAGACAAGTCTTCACGTAAAGCTCCACGCTATCCTTCATATGGGGCCAAAAGTATGCTGTCTCTAGCAATGCCTGCGCTTTTGACCCGGATGACCAGCCCACTTGGTGTCGTGGCACTCTTTGATAAGATCTCGCCTTAAGTTGTCCCACTTTGGAACATAGATTCGTCGTCCCTTGGTGTAGAGTAGAACGTCCTCTACCCAAAACCGTTGGGTTTTGCCATTGCTAGCCACAGGGCCGGTTTTGACTTTTTCTTGGCCCGGGATAAAATTAAAAAAATAGGCCCTAATTTAAAAGAATATTAAAAAATATGCAATATAAATTTTTAATTATTTTTTTATTAAATTAAATAAATATTAATTCATTAAAATATCAAAAATGTCAAAAACATATTTAAGCATATAAATACTTATAAAAAAACATTGCCTTCGAGCATTTCTTGATGCAAAATCATTGATGATAGTGTCAACATCAATGTTTTCCAACATATTTTTCTTAATATATAACATAACTAGCCCATTCAATCTTTCTTGTGACATTGTTGACCTTAAGTAATTCTTCAATAATTTCAGCTTTTAAAAACTTCTTTCCGCGGATGTTACCGTTACCAGCATTGTTAATAAGATTCGACAAGCAATTGAAACATTAGGATAACAATATCTCGCTTTAACAAACTCAAGAACTTCAAGCGCTGACATGAATACATTTGGCAAAGTCAATTGCAACACTTTATTTTCTGAAAAAAATCATTTGCATCAACATCCGACAAATTATTATGAGAAAAAATAATCTTAAAATTATTACAACATTCTTTTAATAAGTCAATAAGAAATAAGTTTATGGGCCCTCTTGTATTAATATAAGAAAATGATATATTAATATTTATGAGTCTTATTTTTAATTTAGTCTATTAAAATATAATAAATTAATATAAATTAAAATTATGGGCCCTGGGCGGGTGCCCCTTTTGCCCCTGTCCAGAGCCGGCCTGGCTAGCCAACTTTACTAATTCTCTTGTCAGTGGATCTTGCTTAAGGCCCTCCTTGATGTGATCCAACACGGTTCCCTTGGCTAGAGAGATCGTGGCAAGCTCTGTCTTTTGACTTGAGGCATCAGCTACGACGTTGGCTTTGCCCGGCTTGTATTCCAACGTGCAGTCGAACTCGGCTATGAAGTCCTGCCACCTAGCTTGTTTAGCTGACAACTTCTTCTGAGTTTGAAAATAACTCGTCGCCACATTGTCGGTCTTGATGGTGAAGTGCACGCCGAGTAGATAATGTCTCCATACTCGCAAGCAATGGATGATGGCCGTCATCTCCTTCTCTTGCACCGTGTACCGCCTCTCGGTGTCATTCAGCTTCCGGCTCTCAAATGCTACCGGATGCCCCTCTTGCATTAGTACTCCCCCGATAGCGAATTTGGATGCATCAAAGTGCACCTCGAATGGCTTGGTAAAGTCAAGTAGGACCAAGACAGGTTATTGGCTAACTGCTTCCTTCAAGTCCTCAAAGGCCTCCTGACATTGTTCGGACTACTCCCACGTCTTTCCCTTCTTGATTAGGTCCGTCAATAGTGATGCTCGTGCTGAGTAACCCTATATAAACCGGCGATAATAGTTTACTAGACCAAGGAAGGACCTCATCTCACTTACCTTGGTCGGCGGCTCCCACTCGGTTATGGCCTTGATTTTGCTCCCGTCCATCAATAGCTTCCCGTGGCCGATTACATGTCCAAGGAAGTGTACTTCCTCGATGGCAAACGTGCACTTTTCCTTCTTGACATACAGCTCGTTCTCTCGAAGTATCTTGAACACAATCCTCAAGTGGTTTACATGTTCCCCGATGGAGTTATTGTATACCACGATATCGTCCAAGTACACCACCATGAACTGGTCCAAGTACGGTTGGAAGAGCTTGTTCATGAGCGTGCAAAACGTCGCCGGTGCATTGGTTAGACCAAAGGGCATGACCAACCACTCGTACGATCCGTATCGGGTGATGCATGCGGTCTTTGGCTCGTCGCCTTCTGCTATTCGAACTTGGTAGTAACCTTTTTGCAAGTCCAACTTCGTGTACACTTTGGCTCCTCCAAGTCTGTAAAATAAATCGACAATCAAAGGGATCGGGTAATTGACGCACATGCGCAACGACCCATCGTGCTTATTTTAGAAGAGTACCGGTGCGCCATATAGTGCCTTCGAAGGTCGAATCATTCCCATATCGACTAGCTCCTTGAGTTGCCTTCGAAGTTCCTCAAGTTCGGGTGGGGCCATTCGGTAAGGTGCCAAGGCAGGCGGCTTGGCACCGGGTTCCAACTCGATCTTGTGATCCACTTCACGTCCTTGTTCTCCTCTAAGACTTCACAGATGATTGGTGGTAGATTATCCGTTTTCTCAATCTTGTCATCTTCTTTTAGCATGGCCAAATAAGTCATGGCCCCTTTCTTGATGCCTCTACCAAATTGTATGGTCGAGAGTTGTTTGGCATCTCGACCTTGCTCTTTTGGTACCTCGACCGTGGGGATCATGCAGGGAGACCCTTTCTCTAAGATACAAACTGAACTAAAGGAAGGCATAGGGATAACGATTACCTATCGGAGAAAGTCCAACCCCAAAACAACTTTGAAGTCGTCCATGGGAATGACGGAAAAGTTCACTCGGCCCTTCCAAGTGCCTAAGCGTAGCTCGACCCCTCGTGCCACGCCATAGAGTGGTGTCGCTTGTGCATTTACCGTCTTGATTCATCCTGTGCTCACAGTGTACTTCAGGCCCAAACGGTTGGCTTTATCTTTAGACACGAAGTTGTGGGTAGCCCCCGTGTCCACCATAGCTCTTGTCGGCTTCTCGTTGATTACCGCTTCCACGTACATGAGCCCATTACTTGGTGTTGGTGTCAACGACTTGGCCTTCAAGGCGTTTAGAACTTGGAGCGATCCCATATCAGCTTAAGACTCTATGTCTTGATGATCGACGATGGCAGACAATGAACCAAGTTTGGGACAACTACTCATCGGATGCGGCCCTTTACACAAGAAGCATCCTCCTTTAGGAACGAAGGCCTTTTTCTTCTCTTCGTAGTCCCTCTGACCCGGACGTCGATCTCGATCTCCCTCTTTAGCTTGTGGCCTTCGGTGATCTCGGTCTCGGTTACCTTGGTTATTCTCCTGCCGTTCTCCCCCACCTCTGGCTGGATACTTATCCTTGTTCTTCGCCGCATTGGTGTGGGAGTAGGGTTAGAAGCCGACGAGTGACTCGGTGATGGCGATGACCTCATCAACCGTTCTAATGTCCCCGACGGTGCATCTCTTGCTTGGCCCATCCTTGTAGTCCGTCAATGAAATAGAACAAGAGATCTTCTTCGGATATATTGGGAATTTGAAGCATAAGGGTTGTGAATTCTTTCACATAGTCCCTCATAATACCCCGTTGCTTCAACTCCCGTAATTTATTACGAGCCTCGTAGACCACATTCTCTGGATATAAGTGCTTCTTGAGTTCTTTCTTGAACTAATCCCATGTATCTAACCGACACACCCCTCGCTCAATGTCGGCATGTTTCCTACGCCACCATAACATAGCAGTATTGGAAAGATATAAGGCAGCAGTATTTACCTTGGCATCTCGTCGTTAAGGCCGATTCCCTCGAAGTATTGCTCCATTCGCCATAGGTAGTTTTCGACTTCCTTGGCGTCCCTTGCCCCGTTGAACCCTTGCGGCTTGGGGCACTCGACCCTCGGGGTGGAGACATTGTTAGCACCCCCGCTAACGGCGGCTCTCTTGCAGAGCGTCAAGTCCTCCCGCATCCCCTCGATGCTTTCACGTACGGCTTGGATCATATCCTCTAGCCGTATGAACCGAGCTTCCACCTCGTTGTTGGTCTCTTCGGTATTTCCTTTAAGTGTGTCAACTTGCTCCAAGACATTGTCCTCCAACGTCTTGAAGTCGTGCTGGACCCTCTCCAGCCTCTCGCCAAACTCTGCCACCATCGGTTCTAAGGAAGCGCCCTTGCGGGCTTTACTTTGACCCCTCTTCTTCTTCTGGTTGGTGGGTGCAGCTTCTCTCCCACGTTCCTCAGCAACAGTCGACTCGTTCGAGTTCCCGGCCATTCCTACAATACACGTGCACGATATTGACGCCTTTACCGGCTCTGATACCAACTGTCACGGACTTAATCTCTCAATAAGCCTCGTGTGGCCTTAGCTCCTTTTCGCCCCTCGCGATAGCTAAGTCAGCCTCACTCAAACTCGTGCTAGTATGGGAAAGGATTGACAAGGGAACAAAGAAGAAAGGAAAGAATTTTGGAAGAAAGCTTGTTGATATGCTTGAAAGCTTACAACTCTTGGATGATTTACAAATGAGGATTCTACATCTATTTATAGCCTCCCACCTGCTCAATGGACGATGGAGATTGACTTGATCCTACGGTAGAAAGAGATTCTCTAGAATTTTCCATAATTTCCTACCTAACATGGAAGACTCTAGAATGCTTCTAAAATATGTACAAGTCTTGAGTGTTCTAGAATAATCTACACTATTCTATCAACCTCCAAGACCAAGTGTGGCCCAACATAGCCAAAATAGCCCAAAGTGTGGGGAAATGCCCAATTTCGTGACATGGTGCTTCGTTCGCTGCTCAACGATCTACTTAAGATCAAGGTTTTTCTCAACGAGTTTTGAATCAAGGGGCTTCGATGTATCAAGTCAATCGTGGCGGTGGTGTTAATTTTCGTGGTCGAGGGTATAGTCGTGGATTTGGTAGGTCTCGGGTGTAGTGTCAAATTTGTGGAAAATTGGGTCATCTAGCAATTTGGTGTTATTTTCGGTTTGATCAATCTTTCGAATGAGTTGATGGTTCTAATTCTTCCAATCTTTTTGCTAATTATTGTGTTTCTGACGAGCTTCTGGTGGAGTCAGTGGTTCAGAGTGATGGTTCAACGCCTATGAATTCAAAGTTTCTTGATGTCAACGCTGTTACTGTGATTGATGGTTTTGGTACACTTGGGTATGGAGATATTTCCTGGTATCCAGACTTTGCGGCAACTACTCATCTTACACCAGATGCAGGTATTATTATTAATTCTTCTTCTGTTGGTTCAGGTAAGGTGGCAATTGCAAATGAGATGGATGTTCCTATTTCTAAAATTGGCAAAGCTATTTTATGTTCTCAGTCTAGGTCATTGTATTTGAATAATCTTTTGCATGATCCTACTATTGGAAAAAAATTACTTTCGATTTCTAGGTTCACTAAAGATAATAGTGTTTCTATAGAGTTTTATCCTACTTATTGTGTTGTGAAGGACTTAGCTACACGGCAGGTGATTGAGAGGTTTGAAGCGTGAGGGTTTATACGAACTTTCTTCTTTTGTTGTTGCTAAGTGTCTTACTCCTGCTAGTTTGGATAGTAATTCGAATTGTATGGTTGATATGCATGCTGATAGTGATGTAGCTGTTGGTGGTCTTGGTTTCTCTTCTAGTATATTACCTCCTGTTATGAATAGGGTGATTAGTAATTCTGTTAGTAATGTTTGCAATAATGTTGTTTCTAGTTCAGAACTTTGGCACAGGAGGCTAGGGCATCCTTTTAGTGTGGTTTTAGATAATGTTTTGAAATAGTGTAACATTTTTGCTGATAATAAAATGATGTTCTGTGAAGCTTGCTATCTTGGTAAGAGTGATACACTTCCATTTCAAAAATCTGTCTGTTTATAATCAACCTTTTCAGCTTGTTTAAATGGATTTATGGGGTCATGCTCCCTTAATTTCTAATAATTCTTCATATTACATTAGCTTTGTTGATGCTTGTACTCGGTTCACATGGATTTATTTTTTGGCCAGAAAGTCTGATGCTCGAAATGTGGTTATGTTTTTTCATAAGATGGTTGAGCAACAATTTAGTTATAAGCTTAAAATAATTCAATCTGATTGTGGCACTGAGTTTCAATCGTTAAATGCATATTTTCGTCAGCATGGTATTATTTTTCAGCGTTCATGTCCACATACGTTGGACCAAAATGGTATGGTCGATCGAAAACATCACCATATTGTGGAAACTGGTTTAACTCTTATGGCTCAAACCTCTGTTCCTTTTAAATTTTGGTCTGATGCATTTGATATTGCTGTCTATCTTATAAATAGATTGCCTACTAAGGTATTGCAGGGGTTACCTCGTTTGAGAAATTATTTCATAAGCAGCCAAACTTCAGTTAGCTTAGAGTTTTCGGCTGTCAGTTCTATCATTTGGTAAGACTGTATAATCAACATAAGCTGCAGCTGAGATCCAAATTCTGTGTTTTTCTGGGATATAGCCATAACCAGAAAGGATATAAGTGTCTTGATTCGATTGGTAAGCTTTATGGTTCTAGGCATGTGCAATTTCATGAGACTTCATTTCCTTTTGCAACTACATTTTAGAAGTCTGTTGTTCAGTCAAAAGATGTAGATATACAGTGTAGTTTGTTTTTCCAAGCATCTGGTTTAACCGTGTCTTCGTGGAAGTGCTCATGTTGGTTCAGTTACTCGTTCTGATGAACAAGTGTCCTCTGATTCCATTCGCCATTCTGTTGGTCTGTTTGGTCACTGTGCTGAACCTACTGTAGATCCAACATTAGCTGGTGCTATGAATCCATCGAATGATTTGGTGGGTGTTGGTTCTAATGAAGTGCACGTTCCATTTTCTCATAGTATGGAAGAATCTTCGTTGTATAATACTTCAGGAAATAGGGCTTTGTCTGAACAAAGTGGAAGTAACTCTAGCACGCATCTTGATGTTACCGAGACAGGGTATACTCATCAATGGTCACCCGATCCAAGGCTGGAGTGTTCAAGCCTAAAGCCATTTTTGTTGAAGAAACTGTTAAGGAGCCAAAAAAATATTCACCACGCTATGAAGCATACGGTGTGGAAGGAAACAGTCGAAAAGGAGTTTGATGCTCTTACTAAAAAGGGAAATTGGGATTTAGTTGTTTTGCCATCAGATCTTGTTCTGATAGGCTACAAGTGGTTGTTCAAAGTCGAGGAATTCTGATGGAAGCATTGCTCTTTACAAGGCTAGGTTAGTTGCCAAAGGCTTTTCTCAGTAAGCTGGTCTTGATTATAAAGAGAATTGCAGCCCTGTTATTAAAACCATCACTGTCCGTATCTTAATAAGCATTTCTCTCAGAAAAGGTTGGATTCTAAGATAGATCGATGTGGACAACGCATTTTTAAATGGATATTTAGTTGAAGAAGTCTTCATAGAGCAGCCGCCTGGTTTTGAGCAACAAGGTGTCCCCGGGAAGGCCTTGGTTTGCCATCGAAAGAAGTCCCTTTATGGTCTCAAGCAAGCTCCTTGAGCATGGTTTAAGAAGTTCAAGACATATCTCATTGGTTTTCTTCACTTTACTGCATCACTTTAATGGGGAAAGAGCATTTTTTATGGTATATGTTGATGATATTGTAGCCACTGGGGATAATGTTGATGAAGTAGATATGGTGATTCGCCAAATTAATGATAGGTTTTCCTTGAAAGACTTAAAAGAAATTGAATTTTTTCCTAGGGATGACCGTCTAACGTGTTGAGCAATGAATTGTCCTTAGCCAAAAGAAGCATATTATAGAACTCTTGGACAAGATGAAGATGTTGGAATCTACTCTTACTCCAACTCCTATGGTCACAACTCCACATCTCTCAGCTGAAGATGGTGATCCTTGCTTAGACGCAACATTGTATAGACAAATTGTTGGTACTTTGCAGCATGTGTGTACTACTCGGCCAGACATTCAGTTTGCAGTAAAAAAAGTTAGTCAATTCATGCAATTACCTTTGGATAAACATTGCAGAGCTGTTAAAAGAATAGTTAGATATCCTATGGGAACTATGGATCATGGGTTACTTTTCGATTCAAGCCCGACAAGAACTACTTTAGTAGGCTACGCTGATTCGGATTGGGGTACTAATACTGACGATCGAAGGTCGACAGCTGGGCACTGTATTTTTTTGGGGAGGAATCTTGTGGCTTGGAGCTCTAAGAAACAAGGAGTGGTGTCAAGGTCCTCTACTGAAGCTGAATTTCGAATCCTAGCTAATGCTATGTACGATGCGATATGGGTTAAGTCTTTGTTAACTGAAATTAATATACAACTCAATGCTACACCCGTCATCTGGTGTGACAACACCAGTGCTATTGCACATGCGACAAATCCTGTTCATCATGCTAAACTCAAGCACGTAGAGTTAGATTTATGTTTTGTCAGAGAAAAGGTGGTGGATGGGTCATTCGAGGTCAACTATGTTCCCGCTGTTGATCAAATAGCAAATGTTCTAACTAAACCGTTGTCAGCATCTTTTTTTGTTCGGCTCAAGGAAAAACTCAAGGTTGTTTCAGCAGATCAACTAAGGCTGTACTGTGTCAACAATGTGCTTTTACATCAGCAAGGGGAAAGTTTTTAATAGAAAAAGAACTTCAGAAAGGTAGAAGATGGGAAATATGTTAGTATATTAGTATTATGAGCTGTTTGTAAGTTGTTAATATGGTTGTTAATAAAGTCAAAGTTAGTTACTAGGATTCAATTACTATAATCATGGTTTGGTGTATAAAAGAACATGTTCTAGTTGTTTACGAAGAAGTTTGTTTTCTGAGGTATTTTCATAATCATTCTTGTTAATCTTTCATGACTAATACTCTTTTTGAAATTTTTATATTCCTTTTATAATTTTAAAATTTTATATATTTTTTAATTTTTTTTATTTTTTTTGAATTAATCGCTGATATAGGACTAATTTATCGGCTAATCCAGATCGGGTTCTACAGAGGCTCATGATGGGACGATCGTCCTAACCTAATTTGATCTATATGCAATTATCATAATATTTTTAATTTTAAAAAATAATTAGTAATTTTTTTAATTTTTTTACTTTTTAAAATTTTTTATGTTTTTGAATTTTAAAAATATTTTTAATAAGTTTTTTAAAAATAATTTGGGCTGTTTACTAATAAAATATTATAACGGAATGAGTTTTAAAATTATAAATAATAATTTGTTGTGATTTTCTTTAATTTAAATTATGCAATTTCTTATCTTTATGCTTTAGTTACTTGATTCTGCCTATATAAATTTACTGGATATTAGTGAAATATAAATGTACCATATAGTAATATTTATTTATTATTTTTTAGTCTATTTAACAATGTAGTCACACATAAAATACATAACTACTCTAACTGAGTTTTTTTAAAGAGACTTTTTTTAATTATTGAAACCACTAAATAAATTTTATTTTCAATAATTTAGGCATATTTTTTTACTTCATCTTATTCTTACCGATGTTCTTTGATATAATTGCTATTCAACACCTCAACTTGTCAGCAAGATCTTGTGGTCGGGAGACAGGCTTGAATCCTTAATGGGAAAAATTATGGGTTACATCACAAGGGTCAATATGAGTTTACAGTATTCACACAGATGAGATTCTTTCTCTTTTTGGTTCATGAGAAAAAGTTTTTAACTTTGATCTTACAAAACGCAGTGTGTTGGCGCTTCAACTTGTAACTCCCTAGATCCGATCTAGACGTTACAATCAAATTTAGACGATCACATATCATATACAAAAAAAAATTAGTGAATAAAATTTGTATAACGGTAAAAATATGGAAATGTGTAACGGTAAATTTCATACGGTAAACATATATATATACTATCATCAGAAGTCTGTATAAAACATATCCAGAAACAAAATACCAGTAATACAGATACATAAAGACAATAGTAAAAGCACGTGTCACCTGATGCCAAGTCTGCAAGCCTTCGGTCTGGTAGTATCTGAAAGGTTAAAAATTAAAGAATAGGCTAAAAAGCCCAGTGTGCTCCTTGTAGTGTATAAAACAGATAAATGAAATACTTCAATAAAAGTTGATTTATATAACAGGTTTTTAAACATGAACACTACCCCCATCCAATCACCAGAATGTGTAGGTTCTTATGAACCATACACCAATCTATACACTCTGTAAGGACCTTATACTGATAGCATAAGGGTTTGCGGTAAGGACATACTCTGTGCACAAAACAGAGGAGCTTTCAATAAGGTCTTACAAGTCATAGATTAAGCCTGAGATACTTCTTCCAATCATAACCCCAATGATAGTAAATGTCCATGTATTTCAGTGAAAATAGTAGTTTGGTTATTAAAACATGTCATATTCCAGAATCAAATACAGAAACACAGTAATCAAAGATCATGATAAAAATACAAGGTAAATCAGATATCATGTAGTTAGATTATTTAATATAATCAGAATTTTATAACAATTCAGACAGATAGTTCAAAACATTACTGTAACACCAATAGGAACACACTTGTATCAGTCTGAGAAGTAGGATATGGTAGCCTACTCTTGGGTCTGCCCAGTGACACTAAGGTTACAAAACCACATGATAAGGAGGAGTGCAGTGCACTCACACTGAGGAGTGGCTCCCAAATTAATCAAGATGCTAAGTTTGGAGGATAACAGACGAATGATTCGACCCCAAGATTGATGAACAAGAGGTGGAACCTTCGGAGAAGGATGACCTTAAGGTTAAAAAAGTTTCCCTACGATGAAACAAAAAGATTTGGCTACAGAAAAAGTTAGACCCCCACTAGCAGTAGAGGAAGTCAGACCCTCACCATATTTCCCACAAAGGTTGAAGAAGCAAAACGATGACCTTCAATTCAAAACGTTTATTGGTACCCTTGACCAACTATACATTAATGTCCCACTCTTAGAGGCCATTGATTTTATGCCTACATATGTAAAATTCCTCAAGGATATCGTTACCAAGAAAACGAAGGTTAAGAGGGTTTAAACAATTGATATAGCAAAAGAATGTTTTTCTGTGTTGTGAAAACTTCCACTAAAGCAAAAAGATCCAGGAAGCTTTATCATCCTTGTTCTATTGGTGATAACTATGTGGGTAGAGCCCTGTGTAATCTTGGATCGAGTGTAAACCTAATGCCCAAGTCAGTTTTTTTGAAGCTTGGTATGGAAAATGCGCGAACAACCACCATTATCCTTCAACTAACCGACTGATCCTATGTTTGAACTGAATGAGGAGTGGAGGATGTCGTGGTGAAGGTTGATAATTTGTGTTCCCATATGATTTCACCATCCTTGATTGTGAGGTCGATGACTGTGTGCCCATAATTTCAGGGTGATCATTCTTAGCAACATTAAGAATTTTGATCGATTTTGAGAAATATGAATTCACCATGAGGGTGGTCTATTAGAGTGTAAACATCAATGTGTTCAACATCCTTAAGTATGTGGATGATTTTGAGGAGTGCCAATGCATTGTAGACATGGACTCGATGGTGGAAGAGGAAGCTGAAAACTTTGTTGCAGTAATTTTTTACAGATCAAGGACTATACACAACTAAAAAAAATGAGACAGAGGAGCTCAAGGAATTTCCACTGAAGGTGCATTAGTCTAGCTTACTCATAGCTAGACTAAGTATGCGATTCGATCATTTGAATTTTGAGGATATCACTCCTCCAAAACCTTCGCTACTGCATGCACCTACCTTAAAGTTGAAACCTTTTATCGTTACATCTTAAACATGTTTACTTGGGTAGTAATGAAACATTACTGATTATTATCTCCTCTACTCTTATTCCTAACCAAGAACGTAGTTTGCTAGATTTTTTTTTCATATCATAAGAAATCTCTAGGTTGGACTATGGTCAATCTGAAGGGAATAAGCCTGATGATATGAATGCATAAGATCCTACTGGATTAATGTCACAATAATTCTATTGAACCAAAAAGACGACTCAATCCTGTTATGAAAAAAGTGGTAATGAAGGAAATAATTAAGTGGCTTGATGCTGGAGTGATCTACCCCATATCCAACAGCTCATGGGTTAGCCCGGTACAATGCGTTTCTAAAAAAGGAGGCATGACTGTGGTGAGCAATAAATAGAATGATCTCCTACCCACACGAATCATGACTGGATAGAGGATATGCATGGATTACTGCAAGCTAAATAATGCTACTAAGAATGATCA